TTCGAGGGTCTCCGTAAGTTCCTGTTTCATATAGGCATTTCAACAAATAATGCAATTGCAAAGAAGGTATTTTGGAACTCGAAAGGGTGGCCTTCGCATATGAAAATGCTAGGATATCAAAGATGCAATAAAATGATAAAATCCACACACCTGAGATGACATTTTCTTCCAGGTACCATGAGTCCTCTTGGAACCAAGTGAACAGTCTGGTGGGTTCCATATAAGAACACCTCCCCACATCTATGTAACGGAATAATGCTGTTAAGTAAATAGCAGGACGGGTAACAGATAGAAGTTTTTTTTTTTGACAGCTAGGTATAGTACCACTTACAGGGGATATAAATGCATTAGTTTTTGAAAGCCCGCCATCAGGAAGTTGCAAATATAATGGGCATTCCCTTGCAGATGGAATGTATCTGAAGATTATTGAATAAACAGTTCAGCAGAGCATCCAGAAACATTTGTACTCTAATAACAAACTTTTATCATAGTTTAGTTCTCTCTTGTTTGTAATGGTTTAGTTAGCTTTTGGTGTTGGTTTGGCGTTTTGGACTGTATATAAATTACGACTAATAAGAAAACTTGATAAATGAGTCATCAAGCTGATGTTTTTTTATCTGTGCACACTTGACACTTGAAAATTCAGAAATTCAGGAGAAAACATGACTTTTTCTGTAACGGGTTGGGTTCTTAGGCTTTCATCAAATTTCAAAAGAAAAAACAAACATCATGGACACGTTATATCTACCAGAAGTTTGACAAAGGAAAAATGATGATGTAATAGTAAAAAAAGGAAGGAAAGTATGTTGAAGAGAACAAATTATGTAACATAATGAGTAAAGTTAATGTACAAAAACAAAACAAAAAAAGCAGAGGTCAATAATTGAGTTTGATCTAAGGAACATACACCACAAATTGAAGAACTTTTGATCGTCCTGTAGCTGAAATTGATGTATCCAAGTGCCACTCATTTGAGTTTACCTGCCAACGTCATATTTTTCATGGAGTGATTAAATTTTTGGATCTCGCAGTTAATCACTATAGCTGCTTGTGGCAAGCTATCGATAGAATGCAGTACAATCAAGAGCAAATAGTTTCTACAAGACAAGTTAGACACATACAAAGAAAGGAATGTCTCCCATACTAAGGACATTGCCACCCAGTTTATCATCAAAATAAGAAAAGGACGACTTAGGAGTGTGGTACAAAACCTGAAAAGAAGTGATATGATTATTACTTATTAAAATCGACAATCCTAAACAAAAAGGGAATATCAGCATTTCATAAGAAATGGAAGAAGGTAGCTTAGTTTAATGCAAATTAGCACCTGACTTTCTATATTGATTTCCACAATTGGTCGCAGCGCCTCAACCACAGGATTCAACATCCTCTCGCCAATCTTTTCAAAATCCCTGCATGTAGAATGCCTAAGTGCGAAAATTCCAACAGCGGCAGCAGCAAAGGAAAATAGGTTTCATTTTTTCAGGAAGCTAAACATAGCCTACAGGACATCTAACTGATGTAAATAAGAAATATACCATATTCCCATTGTCTAGATAAATGAATGTTTTGCACAAGTACCTTCTTGATGCAGTCTAATATGTAATATGTTGTACGTTACTTGTACTTAAACATCTAACATAGAAGATAAAAATTTGAATCTTTATAGCAATTTGATATGGAAGGGGATATTAGCACAACAATAAAGCAACAGCGGAACTAAATTAGTATAGCAGAGTTGCGAATTTTGTTCTTACCAATCATACACCCAATCACTTGGATCAGCATTCAACAAGCTAAAGGATAGAACAACATTTCCATCTGAACCAACTGGCATGAACTCGCCTTTCCCAATGCCTGCCTCACCCTCCTCAATACCCCCATTCATGAAATACTTGGCAAATACCTTGCCAATAACTGAGACAGCCTTAACCTCATCAGCCTTTCCAACCACCCAAGCATGCCGGTGCTTCCCAACAACCACCCTCATACCCTCTGCATCATCAGTCTCCACAACCACAACAGTGTAAACCATAGACCCATCCCATCTGCCGCTGCCTAAAGCTGAGTGCAGCAATTCATCGAACACCTCATCGCCAATCACCAGGTCTGCACTGGTCACAGTGCCACACTGCCAACCTGAGCCAACGTTGCTGCTGCTGCTGGAGCAGCCACCAGCCGACTCAACGGTGACTGATACCGAGACATTACCGGCAGTAGAAGTGGCTGGGAGAAGATGGAGCTGGGCCGAAATCGACTGCTCAAGGCGACGGGTGAGGGAGGCATCAGAGCGATCGGGAACCGAGCGGAGGAAGACCGCGTGGAGGCCGCATGGGAAGGAGGGCGGAGTGGAGTGGAGGCGGTGGGCGAGTGCCGTAATTGCGTCCGAAGGCAGCGGCGAACGATGGATCTCGGTAGATTTCAGCAGGAAGGGCAGTCCTAAAGAGAGACATACAGAGGTGTGAGCGAGTTATACAGAGAAGATGGGATGTGCACAAAAACACTAGCCATAGCATAGAGGAGGTCGTGGGTAGTACCGACGAGAAAGGAGAGGAGGACGGAGGCGGTGAGAATGAGGCGCTTCACGCCGGGCTTCGTCGTGCGCAACGGCGGCTTGTTGCTGCCGGTAGAGGCAGGAGTAGAAGTATACGGGTCTCTGGAGACTTCGCCCGAGATAGGTGGAGGAGGAGGAGGCGTTGGGGCCTCGTCGCCGGCGATCTCCGCCATCGCTCGAGTGAACGGACGTCCGGCCGGCGTTGTTTGGTTCCGAGGGCGGAGTGCGACGGTCCTGCAAGGGGAGAGCAGCGTTGTCGCCTTGTGGGCCGGGACCGTTGCTGGGCTGTCTGACATATGCTGGCCAGGTTGAATACGGGCCGCAGATGTCATAGGCCGAGCCCGGAGAGACAGAAGGCAAATAAACTCACCACCTAGGAAGAGATGAGATTTTCATGCGGTAGTAGACTGGTAGGCAGAGAAGAGAAGGCAATCCATCACTAACTACTTGGTCACCATGCTGGAAATTCTGGTATCATAGGGTAGTAGGTTCTCTCCTTGTGTAGGGCTCCTTTTTAGCGACTGCCAAGGGCGTGTTTTTCATGAAGAGGGAGAGAAACAAACAGCGATTACAAGAACTAGGTAAGCCATGGCTTACCCAGAGAAAAATGGACCCAAGAGTATTTTTAAGGACTTAGTGCATAGCTAATTCGCCACTGAAATGACCTCGGGTCTAAACTGAAACCTGTGCTAAAAAGAGTTAGTAACAAGACTTGACAAAGCCCAGAGAGCTTCCTCCACAATTGCATGGGTGAGCACAGTCAGCGACCGCAATAGTTCTCTGTGAACTCTCATTTCTCTCCTTCCATAGCAGCCAGGTAACCAGCAGCACCAAGCAGTCAAACCCTTTCCTGAATTGCTTGTGCACCTTCTTTCTAGTCACCTGCCACCATTGTGCAGTTGTAGGCTCAGGGTGTGGTACAAGGTATGATAGGCTTAGCTACGAAAGTAGGCACCACCAAACCTCCCGACTGTAACAAAAACCAAGAAGATGATCAATGGATTCTAACTCCTGACTGCACAACGCAAAACTCATGGTCCTGCAGCTTATGGCGCTTCCTGTGTTGCATGGTCTAGCAACGATCTTGGAGGACTAACCAAACAAAAAACTTAAGTTTGGGAGGTGCTTTAACTTTCCAAAGTTCTTTTGCACCTGCCATGTGAATTGCCTTTAATGAAGATTGCTCTGTAGGCAGAAGATGCTGAATACAGACGGTCTGCAGACCAGCGACAAATAAATTGTTCTTTCGCCCTGGCTGAAGAGAAAGCTTTCTACCTTCTCCCAGATATCCAAATATTCTTGTATTACCTGTACCTTCAGAGCACCTTGAATTTTTGAAACCCAGTGGTGATCAGTGATTCCTTCACGGACATTCATACTGTCACATCTCTTTGGGACCACATGAAAAAAGCTTTGTGCCACGTGCCTAATTGAGGAACCATCAAGCCAGGCTCAGAAGATCAACCCAAGTACGATCTGGGTCAGTTCTGTGAAGCCATTCCCACCTTAATCTGAGGGCGTACCCAAAGAGACAGAAATCCTGGAAACCTAGGCCACCAAGGTCAGTAGGGTGACAGATCAATCTGTTCAATGGCCCATACCGACAAACAGGTGGCACTGGAGATGAATATTGGAATTGCAGAGTGTGTGACCTTCACCAAGGTAGCCCGCCCAGCTAAATTTAGCTTGTTGCCCTTCCAAGTGGGAATTCTATCCACAATCATGTTCACCAACGGCTGCTCCTTGCTGTGTTCAAGCTTGTAGATCGAGAGAGGAACACCTAAGTAGTGACAGGGGAAAGGAGCAATCTGACAGCTGAAAATCTCCTAATCGAAGGCAAGTTCGGCCATGGAGCACCGGATGGGTGTCACCTGGCACTTGTCCAGGTTGGTCCGAAGCCTGGTCAGTGGTCACCCCCCTCGTCGAATGTACCCAGACTGCTTCTCAAGTCAAGACCAAAAAAATCCCATTGAAGTGGAGCGACCAGGACCACGAGATCATCCGCACCAGATGCTTGGCACTTGATGGCACTATGGCCCAGTGGCTTGAGAATATCACATTGTTCCGCCAAACAAATCAGTGCATTCAGCACCTTCATGACAATAACAAAGAGCATTGGCGACAACGTCACCCTGGCACAGACCTCTCTCATGGCCGATCCGCCTCCCAGTCCGTCCGTTTAACAAAATCTTCGTGCTTGTTGTTGACAAAATAAATATAAATCCAATCATGCCATCCTTGTAGTGCTCCTTTAGCTCAAAATTTTCCTCACCAGCGGTGAGGCTATTGCAGTAATCTTATGCATATGATTTGTACTATTTGCCCCCCTTCCCCCATTTTTCGAGCCCTTGGTGGGTTAATTGTCTTGTTCTCATGTCTTATCCTACCGCCTCAGGATGGATGTCTTTGCTGGTTTGATCTGCGCACCAAAGATGTACTTTTGACCATGGAGGCAGCAAATAAACCAATTTCTTCAATTTGCATTAAACCAGGTCAGTATGCCATCCAAATACAAGCATCTTTGTATGTTAACCCATGAATTGAATATTTGGTGGGCGTGCAGACATTTTGCACTTACAAAATCATTATTTGTGTAGGAAATGAAGATTGTGTGTATATCTCTGCTGGAAATGAAATATTGTCCTTTGATGTTCGTATGGTAAGTTCTGAATTCAATTGTATTTTTATTGTTAGTTTGAAGTTATATGATCCAACTTACTATTATGTCGCCTGTGCCTTGGTTTCTTGTCAGTAACATGATTACAGTGGTTTTCTTATAGGGAACTCAATCAAAGCCATTAGAGACGTATAACTACAATAGAGATGAAATCAATCTGGTAGTATGCTATTCTACAAAACCACTATAAAATATCCTTCTACTGTGATCTTTCTCCTACAATTCTATTCTAGGCTTTATGATAACATTGAATTGAGCTAAAGATTCAGAATCTGATACTTCCACTTTTGATGCAGATTGCTGTCAGCTCTAAAGGTTTTCTCGCTGCTGCAGATGATAGTGGGGATGTTAAGGTATAGAATATTTTGCAAGTGCATGAACATAAATGTCAAAGATCATTGCATTTTAACAAATATCAAATACCACATTCTCCAGATTTTGGTGTTCGCTATTTTGAGGTTGTTGCATGAATGTGTTGAAAGAGTTTGCATACCTCCAGGCATTGTAGTGCTGACATGAGTAAATTTAGACAAATATTTTATATAAAATTTACAAGTTTATTGTCTGAGACTAGTAAAGCAAATTCTAGGGCAGACTGTTTTTCCTGCTTAAGGTATATAAGCATATTGTATGTAATTTATTTTGGAATGTTCTGTTTCAAAAATGGCACAAATGATGCTCCTGAAGAATAAGTTTGCTGTAAGATCGTTTGTCATTATGAATTCAAATTTACCGGCTTATATATTTGTGCTTTGTTCTGAAACCAAGAAGAGGTTGTTATGTTACACTTTTTGAATCGCATGTAGATTGCTAGAGGGTTTGGGAACTGGAGAACAGTAGAATAAATGCCTCAAGTTAGAAGAAAGATATGTGCAACACACTGATAGGCATGATTAATCTTGTACTTGTTCAATGATTTTGTTCTTGAGAAGTTATGGTCTATTTTGCAGATTGTCAATACCATTCAGAAGTGCCCGTATAAAAGATTAAGGGAAGCCCACACAAATTTATCCTTATCTGGTGTAACTGGATGCTTTTGATAATTTGTATTTGTAGTAGCGTTTCATTTTTATGTTTAAAAATGTGCAATAAGTTCCTCTCTATATGCAATATGTACGTCAGTTGTTCCTTGATAAATTTTCATACAGATTTGCAGCAGCGTGCAATTCATTCCTTGGAGACCTTGGACAGGTTAGTGTTATCATTTTCTTTTTCTTTTTTCAGGGTTTTGTTTGGCTTAATCTTGTAGTCTTGTGGCTCCTTTTTTGTCAACCTTTTAGGGAGCCAATCCTAGAAAACTTTTTCTTTTAATTCTTATTTTTTTCAATGCCTTTATTGTCAATAATAAATATTTTTCATTTGGCAGCAATTACTGGTGGCCTTGACTCAAAGCTCGCCGCATGGGATTTCTCCATAGGGACGAACATTGTTTTCTATTGATTATGTTACCTCCTTTACTTTCCATGGAACACCTGTGAATAGCTTGCATTACCTAGGCTGCTCCATGTTCTTTTTGTCTTTGTAAAAGAGTATCCTAGCAGTTCCTTGATCTCATACATTTCCATTAAGCATTGGTAAATTGAGCCCTCATATTGTCCATTGGAAAGTCGGTTCACCTTGCTTTACATAGAAATATTAGTTTCTGTTCATGTATGACAAAGCTGTATCAGTATTGTTTTTCACCTCAAAATACTCTCCAATTCGGATCAATCAACAATTCAACATAATATTCATTACTGAGTTTCAGGATCACCTGAATTGCAGAATGGCAGTTCTTCCGGTAGTGCAGGGCAATGTTTCAACCCTGCTTTTGTTCATTCAGTAGCAGTTTCTGAAGAGGGTATTTTGGGAGGGCTCTACAAGGTTTGTGCTGTTGCAAGGGGGGATGGTGCTGTTGATGTGGTTGATCTTGAGTATGAACTGGCTCCTGCGAAATCGAAGGGACCTCCTCGGGCAGCTATTTCAAAAATGAGTTCAAAAGGAGCTGAACTTGGAGATGGGAGCTGTAATCAAAGTCAAGCAAAAAGAATCCATCTTGACTACACGATGGGTGGCCATTAGAAGCTACGAAAAATATGAGAAACAACCTAAAGCATCCAAAGTGTGAATTAGTCATTAGAAGCTACGAAAAATATGAGAAACAACCTAAAGCGTCCAAATTTAATAGTTTATGTCACTAGACTTCAACATGGTCAGCTGATTTACTGAAATGAACTGATGAATACAGTTACACAAATAAAAAACTATACATGTTCTCGCAAAAACAAAACACAAATCCGTTGTAGTCTAGCTGGTTAGGATACTCGGCTCTCACCCGAGAGACCCGGGTTCGAGTCCCGGCAACGGAATTTTTTTTTGTAAAAAAAAAAACCACACGAAATTACACAAGCATAGTAGGATTTAGGGTTTCTTTACAAAGCTTCTTCTTCTTCCGCCGCCGCCGCCGCCCCCGCCCCGCGCTGCTGTACCCTCTCACCTCCTTCGCCGTTGCCTACCAGATATTCCCATGGTGAGCTCGCCGCCCGGAGATGCTTTGCACTTAGCGCCATCCAGTTCTGTTTTTCTTTGCCCACCGAATCGTTCGTTCCTTGCGCGTGTGCGGTTCTGACGATGTGTGCTGGTTTCTGTTTGGGTGCCTGCGATCTCAGGCGTCGGAGAAGAAGCAGTCGAACCCGATGCGGGAGATCAAGGTCCAGAAGCTCGTGCTCAACATCTCCGTCGGCGAGAGCGGTGATCGCCTCACCCGTGCCGCCAAGGTGTATATGCGGAATATGGCCATTCCCCAGAATAGTGCCATTTCTTTCTTTCTGTTCGTTCTGCGCTTGTGTGACCTAGAGCAAATGTGTTTGAATCGCATCTATTTGTGCTCCACTAGTCCAGTTTTGGTTTTATTTTTTGGGGTAAGAATCAGTTCTTGACTGTAGCTTAATCTCAGCTCCTTAAGCCGTCCAATCTCTTTATTGTTGCTGGCACCACTTAAATTGCGCCATCCAAATGTTAATTAGTAGTAGTATGATTGCTTTCGACATCAGCTGTGGTTAGTTATTGTTCCCATAATTTCAGTTAGAGACTGATGAATGACGCGCCAATTTTGCTTTTATTTCTTAGTGCTAAAATGAGGCTTTAGTTCTTTGTCGCCTGTTGATAGTGTTCACACTGAACAGTTGCTCTAACCTCCGCTGGTTGTTTATTAGGTGCTGGAGCAGCTGAGTGGCCAGTCACCGGTGTTCTCCAAGGGTAATTTTCTTAAACCTGACGTTATCAGTGGTGTGTGGTCCTGGATTTATGATGGTCATAGCAACTTTGATGTGACATTGCAGCAAGGTACACTGTGAGGTCGTTTGGTCGTTTGGGATCCGGCGAAATGAGAAGATCGCGTGCTATGTGACGGTGCGGGGTGAGAAGGCAATGCAGCTGCTGGAGAGTGGCCTGAAGGTGAAGGAGTACGAGCTGCTGAGGAGGAACTTCAGTGAGACTGGCTGCTTTGGATTTGGTATCCAAGAGCACATTGATCTTGGCATCAAGTAAGATGATCTCATCTCTGATTTTAAGTAATTTGAATGTGGTGTGTCTGTTTCTGTGAATGGATGCTTTTATGATGGGCATTGTTGCTTGCCTGTAAGCAGGGGAAAAGATATGTAACTTTGTATTCATGTAGCCTGTATCGACTATGGGTCACTGCGTACTAGGATAGCTTAAGGATAAGTGCTTAACACAGTTTTGGGAACTGAGACTGCTGATTGGCTGTAAGATAGCTTTTGGGCAGCCTTTTCCATTCGCTGATATACTAATACGGCTGAGTCATAAGAATTCCCGTTCGTTGTTCATTTCAGTAATAATTTTCTGTCAAGAAAATTCAGATCAAGTGGAGATTCTAATTGATTATCTTTTTGTTCTTTATAATATGTCCTGCAATTTGTTTCTTTATCAAATATCCAAGTTATTTTTAGTCATTTAATTGTGACATCCAAAATTCTTCCTTGTAGCGGCAGCAATTAATACAAGACATTTATTTGTCTCTCAGTCAAGTTTTTCTTTCTCAAAAAGCTGCTTACTGTTGAATTTTAGTCTAGTGTGGGTTTGTAAAAGAGTTGCCGTGTTATGCTTGATTCAGTAACTGGTTTATTTCATGGTCAGAATCCAGTATCCACATTGGCTTTTTATAGTATTGTGGTGCACCAAACATATTTTAGGCCTTGTTTGGATGTTGTCAGATTCACGTCAATCCACATGTGTTGGAGTGGATTGGGGTGGAATTTAGTTCAAGTTTCACTTCAATCCATCCCAACCCATGTTGATTGATGCGAATCCGACTACATCCAAACAAGGCCTTATTGTGTTGTTTATTGTTTAAGTTATTTTATATTGATCGTTTGAGAATATTGTAATGATGTTTTCTTTAGTGTATACATATGTGGGCATTGTGTTTGTGGCTATTTTCTTCTTCATTTAGGGATTTGGGATTTTGGAATACATCATTTGTTACCCTGTTGCCGGGTATAGTTCCTCTTTTTTCCACTCCTTGTTATAGCTTTTTCTGAGTGATGTGCTGCATCTTGTTAATGATCGGTAACCGTTGCTGCATTTTGTAAGGTATGACCCGTCTACTGGTATCTACGGCATGGACTTCTATGTCGTCCTTGAGCGTGCCGGGTACCGTGTCGCCCGTCGTCGCAGGTGCAAGTCTCGTGTTGGGATCCAGCACAGGGTCACCAAGGAGGATGCCATGAAGTGGTTCCAGGTCAAGTACGAGGGTGTGATCCTCAACAAGGCCCAAGCCAACACCTCCTAAGCATTACCATAAGATATTAGACCCTCTTTTTAGTGCTTCGAGTTAATGAAGTGTATCTGGCGGTGGGATTTGTATTAGAAGAAAATCGGATGCGTTATCAGTTTTGCCTGTACTGGTCCTACTGTAGTTGGATCCATGTTTTTGTGTGTGCCCTATACTTTGATGTTATTTCTGTTTTACCTCAAGGCAGCAGTCTGTGCTATTCTGTGTTCTGTTCTTGTTGAATCGTGCCGTTCGGCTGGTCTGAAGTTTGGCTTGTTCGGCTTCTTTTTTCAGCCGGAACAGTGTTTTTCTCTCGCAACATTTTAGTCAGAACAGTGTTTTTCAGTAAGTGTTTTTCAGCCAAGTTTTAGACAATGGTGGTCCTGCACTTCGGGTACGTCCCCAGGAAGCACGGAGCGGAGCAGCTGGTCGATGTGAAGAGTCGCCTCTGCGGCTGAAGCCAGCCCACACACACACAGAATCCACAAAGGACAAGCACCAAACCGACATTTAACACAGTGCTACCAACCATAAGATGACTCTTATATATAGCTACAAGATGTTTGAAAGTCATCTAACATATATACTGGGATGAAAAGGACCGACTTTTCCAACCACAAAGGGCAGCGTCAGCCTGTTCGGCTGGTGCTGATACGGGATTATTACTGCTGGCTGGTATGGTGTGTGTGAGAAAAATATTGTTCTGGCTGAAAATTTACGATCGTTTACGACCAAGAGAACAGGCCGTGTCCGAATGTGCGGACTGACGCTCGCGTCTGGATGCCGGTGCCTGCACTCCGTCTCCCTGCGCGCACCTGCATCCCACGCCCGCCCATGTGGGGCCCACACCGCCTGGATATCACCCGCGTCGCCCGACTGCACGCGGGGAGTCCCCACTCGCACCCCCTCCGCTGCTCACGTGCATGCACGCGACCAGCAGCTGCAGCAGATGACTACAGCAAGTGGCTACACCAGCATCGAGAAGAGGGAGAGGGGGCGGCGGATGCCCAGCCGATGCCGGGAGGAGGAGGCACCGAGGCGAAGGGGAGGCAGCAGAAAGTGAGGACAGAGATGCAACACCCGATCTACTTTTGAAATATCCGGATGCAACACTTGCAACATACATCTTAAGACAGATGAAACACATGAAACATGTATATGAAACACTAGCAAAAACACCTAAAAAAATACTTGAAAACTATTGCAAAACATATGCAGCATCCAGATAAAACACTTGCAACGTACGTGTGAAACGTATGCAACATATACATAAACACACTCGCAAAAAAAATGAAACATTGGGAACAAAAGCTTGCCTCGCAAAAAAAAAACAGATGAAACATTGTAAACAAAAGCTTGCAACATACTGTACAACTATTGCAGCATATGCAACATCTCGATCTACTTTTGCAACATCCGCATGAAACAATTGCAACATACCTATGAAACATCTAAAATAATTGAAACAAACGCTTGCAACATGTACTTTTAAGCGCAGCATCTACTTGCTGCTCGGACGAATGGCCAGTATGACTCCACCGCCCGTCAGCCCTGATCCATATCTGCTGCCCCAATAGGAGGAGAATCGAACCCACCACGGTTGCGCCCCGATCGGAGGGTGGGATCTGGGATGGGGAGCAGGCGGAAGGCGTGGACCGGGACGCCGCCGTGCCGGAGCAGGGATGTGCGCCCGCGTCGGATCTGCGCTCGCGCCCATCCCCGCACCGGAGTTGAGGGTGGGGGTGGCCTGCCGGAGAAGAGGAAGGGGGTCGCGGGGGGGTGGCCACGTGGATCAGAGCTCGTGCTCGTGTCGGAGCAGGAGGAGGGAGTGGGAGGCAGCGGGGCGCGTGGCTCGGGCGACGCGCGTGGGGGCGGGGGCGGGGGCGGGGGAGCGGCTCTGCAGAGGAGCATCGCGGCGTGGGTGCAGTGGGTGCGGAGATGCTGCGGTGGGGGAAGGGGGCGGGAGGAATGAGCGAGTGCGGGAATAAGCGGAGGAAGACGTCCGTCCATCTTGACGCCTTAAGCCCCGTTCGCTGGTCTGAAACTTGGCTGAAACTGACTGGTTTTGTGAGAGAGAAACACTGTAGCGGTTGATTGATAAACAATGTTTTGTGAGGATGAGGAGCCGGCTGGTCTGGAAAAACCGGACCAGCGAACGGCGCCTTAATTGTATCATTATTGCTTAAGAAAAGCTCCGTTCGCTTGGAGCCTAACTAGAATGGCAGCCCAAGCCTGGCTGGCCCAGGATCAAGCTGCAGGGGGCCTGCGTGAACTATAAATTTGATTTTGCCCAAAAAAATGGTGGAAGTATCCAAAATTCTAAAAAAAATCCCAAAAAATATAATTGACGTATAATTGCGTTATGACAGCTTTCCACAACAAAAAAGTAAGATACAACGAGCACAAAAATGCATAACATGAATGCATTCAACATTTGGCCCCCCGTTCGGCTTACCCAAAATCGGCACTATTCAATTTGTTTTTTCAGCCGGAACAGTGTTTTCCTCTCACAACAATTCAGCCAGAACAGTGTTTTCAGCCACTTTCAGCCAAGATTTAGCAAGCCGAACAGGAATGTATGTTGTATTCATGCTAGATGCATCATATGCTTTTTCCATACAAAGTTTTCAAAACATGTTTAAGACAACGATTATAATGTTGTAGGGGTTTCATAGATATTTCTGGATATTTTTCTTATTTTCCTAGTGTTAAGTCTTTTTATGAAGCTACTAGATATATTTTTCATGAGCTCTAAATATTCTATTTGGATTCTTTGTATCCCAGCCTATATATTTTTTTTTATTTTTCTCAGGATTTTGAGTCTTAGAGATATTTTATGTGGTTTAAAAATCTTGTTGAGTATTTACTAATTTTTTAACTAAAAACAAAATTGACTTCAAAACCACCTCAAACTAGGCCTGGGAGGAAATTTGAATGGTTTTGAGAGTTCATGAGGTAAGGTATTTGGTTCTGGAGTTTAGGGAGAAAAATCACATTATATCAATAGTTTAAGGAAGTATAAAATGAACTTCTTTCCCATGAAAAAAAGATCAAGACAAAATAGATTGGGATTCCATGGCCAAAGAGAATTGTTGGATGTCATCGTTTATGATTCTTATGGAAAACGCCGCTTATCTTGGCTCATTCAAACTCTTGTTGTTGGAAAGTCCTCCTATTATGTACAACCTTGACCTGTCCTAGGCTTTTTTACAAGTGTGTGCATGTATGTACGTATATATTCCTTTGCTTTGATTCAAGTAGTGGAGCTGCATGTGGCTGTGTGCAGAAGCTTCAGACCAATGGAAATCGTCTCAGCTTTTCACTGTGCCCCCAAGAATAACTAAGCTGAAGTCAACCTTAAATGACGATGTAGACGAACAAGCAGCCACACGGGTGAATTTAGACATGTTTATTTATCAACATATGCAAATCCTTTAGTAAAACACGGTTGTAAATTAAGAAAATCTATATCATGTAATGAAGTTATTAACCTTAATGCCTCGATGATATTCTCAAACACAGTGCAAGTACACGGATGGATTGGAGTGGGAGCTCTGTAGCGTCGAGTGGCAGGGCAGCTCTCCCTCGGCAGATGAGATGAGCGGTTGCTGGTCGGTCAGGGTGAGTGCCTGACCGTCCGACGTCCGTCGTCCACTCTGCCGAGGGAGCACTGCACTGTCGGTGAGCCCCACGCGATACCGTTCGCTACCCAGGCAGGCTACCTGCGCTGCGCTGCCCGGCAACGTACTACGTACTCGATCAGGAGGAAACTCGCGGCCGGCTCCGACGACCTGAACACCAATTCCAATCCTTCTCTAAACCAGATCGTAGGCCACATGTACATGCATAAGTATATATGATATACGCGGAGGATCGGAGGGGAGCCGTATGTACATGTACGTAACAGCAAGGAGCTTCAAAGCCTACCTCTGCTAGCTAGTCGTCGTCGTCGTTAGCCGGCGAGATACATAGATCTGAGCGCGCGCAAGATCATCGTTCTGTTAATTTCTGTGGATCGACTAGGGTAGATCTAGGCGGATGACACTTAGATCCGTAATAGCACATGCATATCTAAACCTAGAACACTACACCGAGAGGGAGATAGGGTAAGGGTGCTGGTGTTGAACCTGAGCCCTCGGAGGAAGTCGCGGTTGAGCTGGCCATCTCAGCTTCGGTGATGGAGGCAGCACACGGGCAGCGACGGGTGGAGTAGAATTTGCACGGACATCGATGCAGTGTAGACGGACGGCGTAGCAGTGACGATGGTGAAGTCAGCGGAGCTTCCCGTCGCTGGCTGCGCGCCCTCTTAGATCGGTCTAGGGTTTGTCGGTGGGGTTTGCGGCTCACGGTGAACCTCGTACCTCGAGCCGTCGGCCCCCACCTCTATATATAGCGCAGTGCGACGGGGGCCCACCAACCATGTAGGGTTGGGCGCCCCCGATCAGGGCGCGTGACCAAGGCCCAATAGGCCGTTGGGCTTATTGGTTGGGAGATCACTCTAACATTCTCCCTCTTGATCTCACTATTACTTTTATCTTTAAACTTTAAACTTCAATCCTTTTATCCTTACTCATTTCTTCACAGATGATGCATAGAGCACGTCTCATCGTCACGGTCAATCGCCGATAGATTTAACAGCTACAATGCACGTCTCTGATATGAAATAGTTACTTTAACTTTTGGGCCCTTTATAGTCCAGGAATCATAAGCTTTCCCTTAAACCCATGCCGGCTACATGTTCTCTGAACACGTTGGGTGGTAAGCCTTTTGTAAGCGGATCCGCGAGCATCTTTTTCGGTACTTATATGCTCAAACTTTATCATTTGATCCCGGACTTTATTCTTCACAACATAATATTTTATGTCAATGTGTTTGGCAAAGACCACTTGACCTATTGTTGTGAGCATACTTTATCTTCTTTGGATTATTATCGCAGATAACTTTAGTGGTCTATTGATGTCGCCAACCACCTTCAAACCGGTATGAACTTCTTTAGCAGCCCACCTGCCTGTTGTTCA